GAGTTATGTGGACCCATAAATCCTTAGGATTTATTTTCCCTGGTGTATGTGCTTGCCTCTGCTTTTGTTTCTAAATACATTTAAATGATTGAGTTGTTCACCAGGCAATTAGAGGAAGATGTGCTCATTTCACACTCCCAGTTGACTTGGTGGGTGGGGAAGAATGTCATTCAATACAAAGCACTATGGTTTTGTGGTCTTTCCTTCTAGAAAAATCTAGCCAAGGATCAAGGAATCAACTATAAACCATGTTCTCCTTTGTACTTTTCCTGTACATTGGGGAAAATATTGCATGCAAAGGGCAGATTTTTTAATTAAAATATTTATTAGTTGCCGAAATAAAAAACCAGGAGGTTTTACATTAAAACATTTGACTTCTGGTTTCTCTTGAAAAATCAGATGTCCTCGCTACATTGGGCCTGCATTTCCTGTGGTGTTGACCAAGCTGCCCCCTTTAGAGGGGTCCTGCCTTCTTAGCAGCCTCCATAATTGGCCTTGTCTCTTGACACTGAGCCTGAGGGTTGGTATCTTAAATTTTTTTTTTATTTTGGTAAAATATACATAACAGAAAATTTACCATGTTAACCATTTGTAAGTATACAATTCAGTGGCATTAAATACATTCAAAATGTTGTACAACCGTCATCACTATCTTGTTCCAGAATTTTTTCATCATCACAAACAGAAACTGTGCTCATTAAACAATAACTCCCCATTCGTCCCTCCCCTCAGGCCCTGATAACCACTGTGCTACTTTCTGTGTCTGGGAACGTGCCCATTCTAAGTAACTCAGATAAGTGGAATCACACAATATTTGTTCTTTTGTGTCTGGCTTCTTTCAGTTAGCATAATATTTTTAAGGAAGACCTTGATTTTTTAATTGCCTTTTTTTTAGCGCATAGACATTGAATTTTATTGCATTTTTTGGCCACGCCCCTCGGCTTGAGGGATCTTACTTCCCCAACCAGGGATTGAACCCAGGCCACGGCAGTGAAAGCACCGAGTCCTAACCACTCCTGCTTTTTATTGCATTTTAAAGGAGGAGTTGCATTTCACTGAAAAAAGAAAAAAGTCAAATAGGACAGATAGTTTGGGATGAAGATTCTTGACTTCTTTAAATGATCATTACATCCATTATCGATATGTGGAGGTTCTTAATGTACTTAGGTAACCCTGCATCTTTACACAGGTGTTTTACAGTTAGTGGTTAATTCTCCTGGTATCCCCCAGAGGCTTCTCTATATTTTTACAGTCAGGATATGAAGACACAGGGATGCTCTGGGGATTAGTTAAATGTGTGTGGCATACTTCGCTGTATAAACTCACTCTCTGGAACTAGTTTTCGCTCCCTGCTCTCAACTTCCACAGCTTTTACTGTCAATCCCATTCATTTAGCACTTAGCATATGCTTGTTAGTTGTCTTTTTCTGTATATACCCTTGAAGGCAGGAGCCAAGTCTCATCCCTCTTTGTTTTTTCAGTCTTGTCCATAATAGCAGCTCCATCAATGTTTGCTGATGTTGGCCCCCCTCCCCCTTCCTTTTAAGTAGAGCTGGCAAAGCATAGCTTTACATTCAGACTCAGTTTAAACAAACTGAAGGGTTTTCAGGGTAAAAACAGAAGGAAGTCTTGCGTGGCAGGGGAGAAGGAACACCTAAGACGCTTAGAAGACCTGGGCAAAGACGAGGTATTAAAAAACCTGTTATTAGCCACAGGCTAAGAAAGTGACTCACACGGGGCCTGATCCACCATGAAATTCAGTGCTGTGCTCTGCTCTACCCCAACAAAATTCAAAATTGGAGGAGATCAATAATGCCCAAGGCAGGATTTGAGGAGGGGGGTATTAAAAGAATTAAGTGTTTTAGGGGTTTCCATTGTATGAAGGCCCCACTAGCTGTGGGGAAGGCAGGTCTGGAAAAGTCTTGGGAGGGCAACTTCAAGGCTGGGGACAGGCATTCTGCAAACAGAGCCACCAGACCTTTGCTACCAGGGTTTGTTTCCCAGCATCTTCTGTAATGGCCTGAATCACCTCTCAATAGGGGAATGAGTAAAAGAATTTTGGCACATGTATGCATTGGAACACAGAACTATCATGAAAAAGAATGAGGCAAAGGAAGTTATCCTGAGATGGAAGGATATTTAAGAGACATTGCTGAGTAAAGAAATGCAAAGTGTGTGCGTGTATGCAAATAATATATTTTGAAGATTATACACATGTATGGAGAGAAAGGGACTATGAGAACAGAGTGGTGGAGAGGAACTCTTTATGGTCCTACTTTCAGTACTGTTTTCAGTTTACCATGTGCATATTTTTAGTTTTTAAATATTTATTTCTTTATATATTTTTGGCTGTGTTGGGTCTTCTTTGCTGTGCGTGGACTTTCTCTAGTTGTGGCAAGCGGGGGCTAGTCTTCATTGCGGTGTGCGGGCTTCTCATTGCGTGGCTTCTCTTGTTGCAGAGCACGGGCTCTAGGTGCGCGGGCTTCAGTAGTTGTGGCACGTGGGCTCAGTAGTTGTGGTTCACGGGCTCTAGAGTGCAGCCTCAGTAGTTACGGCGCACGGGCTTAGTTGCTCTGCGGCATGTGGGATCTTCCTGGACCAGGGATTGAACCTGTATCCCCTGCATTGGCAGGCAGATTCTTATCCACTGCACCACCAGGGAAGCCCACATATTTTATTTTTCCCACTTTAATAGCAGTGTTAATTTTAGCAAGTATCCTATTGCCATTCTGATCAGTAGTCGTCTGCAGCATATACCCATCCTATCCAGCTCTGCTGTCCATCCCTCCAAAGCTGGAATAATCTTCCTTTGTTTCACAAACTAGATGTCTCCATGTCTTTAACACTCAAAATCTCACTTTCTCCAGGAAAAGTCACCCAAATAACTTCATCTCACACATAAACTGAATCATATCAAGAATCCACTGTTGCCCATGCTCTGGCTTCTGAATTCTTGCAGCAGCTCTAGCAGAGCCCTCTGCACATTGAGGCTACCCCACTACTTTTCCTGTACCTGGTTATATTCTGGGACCCTGTTCACAGTGAGATGGTATTTCCTCTGAGCACATTTCCTCTTGCATGCTTTGGTCCACAGCCCCTCAGAAGCTCCCGGTAGGCAGGCTTGAATTGGGTGTCATTTTCTCATTGGCATGAGTTCCTTATAATAGTTCTGCATTGTCAAGGCCTTACATACAGACTCGCTTCCTCCTTGTAGTATTTTCTAGGAAATACGGATCTGCAGAGAATGGTGGTTTCCATGGTAAATGTTCCCTCATATTTGTTTTCTTAAGTTCTCTTCAGAGATACACAGTATGATTTCCTCTTTCAGTACCAGCACCACAATAGACTTAGGTCGTGGCACCACTGCAGAACAGTTTAAAGAACAAATCTCACCTACCCTGGATAGAAAAGGAGTAATTTATTATTCTAACTTCAGGGAGCCACAAAGTATAGGAAAAGAGTTGACTTTTTAAAATAAAGCCACAAAACCTACACACCTTGGCTATGAATGCTTAAAACAGATGAGCAGAATATTTGATTCCCAAACACATGTGAGAATCTCCACCATGTGACAGACACAAGTAGGAACACATAACACGTGTGGAGTGCTTTGTGGTTTACAGAGTTTTCACACACAATTCATTTTATTTTCATATACCAGTGCCAGTAAGTTAATATGATATGTTTTATAGCCTTTATTTACAGATAGGAAAATGAAGGCTCAGAGAAGTTAAGGGACTTAACGAAAATCGCACAACTAGCTGGTAAGTGCTTGAGTCTGAAACGAGTTCTTCCTTTAGTTCCAAATTCCATCTTATCCTGCTATTTCTTTGTGCTTTCGTTTCCCGGTTGTAAAATGGTTGATTTTCAGTGTCCCAGGAGGCTGTTCTCAACCCTCTGTGTTCTTCAAGCAATATCAATTTTTTCGCAGCCGGGAAATGTGAACACCACATTGACACTTCTCATACTTTCCCCCCCTCTTGGCCTAATGAATTAAGGGGGGAGAAAAGTTACCTGTTCCCAGAGGGCCGGGCAGTGCCATAAAGGTGTACTAGAGCCGGCCGACACACTGCCGCATTCTCTTAGGAGACTGAGAAACCAAGCGTCTCATCTTTCTTTTCTCAGCAGTAGCTGGGGGAGAACCGAGAGCTAGACAATGGCCTCTTGTTTAGTTTTATTAATTTTGAGGGCGGGTGGAACAAAAGAATCGGATCGACGACGCAAGTAACCAATCGCACAGGAACCCTAGGCCAGGATTCGCCAACCGATAGCTGCCAAAGAATGGTGGGCGGGATTTACTCCTTGGGCCGGCTCCGCCCAGGCCTGTCCTCTCAGTCCGCCCCAGAGGCGGAGGCTTGGCAGAGCTCCGCCCACGCCACCCCTGCCGCCAGCGCGGCCTGCCAACTGGAGGGGGGCCGGGACGCAGGGTGGCGCGGGGGAGGAAGGGGGTGGCTAGAGGGAGTGGAGGAAGAAAGGAGGGTGTCTCGCCGAGTTGCGACCTGGGTGGGGGCCTGCTGGTCATAGGAAGCAAGAGGGGAAGGAAAACCAAGGATCGCTGCTCCTTCCTGAATTATTTTAAGCAACCCTTGCAAGAAGCTGCTTTTCAGCATTTCTATTATTTGTTTTTCTTCCTCCCGCTGTGGGGCGGGGAGCTGCTCTAGCTCTCCCACGCGACTCCGCTCCGCTGTTGCCGTACACTACTATTGGAGTCTTTGCAAAACCCTTTCGTTCCTCCCAGCCAGTCCTTGCTTAGACTCTCAGGGCTACTGTAACCGAGTCGTGCCACTTTAGTGGGAGGACCAGAGTGAGGGCCCCCCACCCCAACTTTCGCCGGAGTGGCCGGACCCCGCCGATCAATTGTTTGAACTTCCCCGCCCCCTAGCCCCGCCTCTCTTCCGCCCCCCACCCCCCCACCCCGCCCCGAGGGTACAGGCCGACTCCCTCCCTTCTTTCCCCGCCCTCTACTCCGCCCCACTCCCTAATCCACCGCCCCCCGGCTCCTGGGCGGTCCTAGCCGCTCACCGCAAGAAGAAAAGCCACCCGTTCGTCCCCCTTGCCTTACCTCCAATCCTTTGCCCAGGAGCTGCCTTCATCGCAGTCACGCCCCTTCCTTCCGAGGAGCTTTCTGGCTGCCTAAGCTGGTAGACCCCCTGATTTATTCCTCCATCTCCGCTCCCTTTCGCCTCATCTTCTCTTAGTTCTCACAGCCCCCTCCACCCCCACCTCCAGTCTGTCTCGCCTCGGACCATCCGCTGCTCCACCCTCCGGCCCGGTATCCTGCCTGTGCACTGCCACCAAGGAGAGCCCGGACGGAGCAGCGAGGAGGGAAGCAGCCGGGAGTTGGGGCTTCCCTCCTGCCTATCCCTGGCCTCTGGCCCGAGACCGAAGCCACTTGAGCGAGCAGAGTCGTCACCTTGTCTTCGTTGCCTTCAGGGGTAGGAGACGCGTGGTTACTTTTCGCGGGGAACTGGGGCAGGAATCCATGGTGGCATGAACTTGATCGTAACCTCCGCGTGAGTGAGTCAATCTAGATGCGTGTGGGGATGCCTGTGTTCTACTTTGCTGGCCGAGAGTTTTCCGGGATGTGCAGCAAGTTAAATAGGTTAAAGAGTCTGCGCACCTTTCCGCGTCCTACAGAGATGCTAATGGGTACCACTACTAGATGGTACTTTTACTTTCTTGCCTCCTGGGGTCCTTGTAGGTCTCTAGGTCATTAAGCACAAAAGGAATTAAAGACCAAAGGAAACTTGAGCTACGTTTAGCTCATCTGGAATGTACGCGCTTATCTCAGATTGTTAGATGCGTTACTCCTAATGCTTGGGGTTGGGGTGGGGGCTCACACTCCCCTCCGCCAGGGGCTGTGAATTCTTGAAGCCTTAGCCTGGAGTGATCTGCAGTGCGACACTCTTTTAGGTATATGAGTGTGTGTGGTCGTGAGGAGAGGGTTGCCCCTTATTTGCTTTATGGATGTTAGTAACTAGTTTTGCCTGATCATGCAGGTGTGTTGAGGGTCCCAAGCCTGGGTCACTGTACGTAGGTACTTCAACAGCAAGATGGACTTATCAGTATATGCAAATGAAGAGAAGGAAAAGTGAGAGGGAAAGTACAGTCTTTGTAGACCGAGCAATCCCTGGTAAATTGCCACTAATAATAATATAATATCAATAGTAATTTGCAGCAAGGGACTAACTACAATTAAATGAGAGAGGAAAGGGCAGTTTGTGAAAAACGGCATTTCCAATCTCTAGCATGTATTTTAGAATTTCTGACACCTTGTGTATCAAGTATCTAATTTAGTTTTCCTTCATCCTCCCTGTCCTCCCCCATCCCCATGAAGAGTGGAAGTCGGGAGGCAGATTAAAGCTTTTTAAAAATGTAACCCTCTTCTCCCATTCAGAGAGGAAGATAATTAGTCACCATAATCTTCAATAATGGAGGGCTAAGTGTATGTAAGTCTCCTTGAACTAGGCTTTGTGAAAAGTCCTTTCTTAGGACAGTCTTTGTGAAGCTTTCCCAGTTAGACCTTTCAGCACCCTCATTTACTAGCTAAGAACAATTTGAAATACCATTTTGGCTGTGGGATAAATCTTCACCCATCTCCCACCTACCTCCAGTTGAGCAAGCACGGCAAACTTATAAGAATGGTGGTGTTCAAAAACCAGTTACAAAGATGTCCCCAACACATTGCTTATTTGGGAACAAATTATTTACTTATATTTTTACCTAAGTTCATTAGTTGGTTTTAATGGGGGAAGAGAAAGCAGGAAGGAGAGAAGGAACGCTACAGGGTGACAATTTTAAAGGCTATCATATTTCAGATCAGCTGGAAAGGAAAAGTTGGCCTGACCAAACTATATTTTATAACTGGCCTGGGACATTTTAATAGCCAGGTGGTTGTAGAGTAGTTGCATCTATTTACAGATGATAACTCAGGTTCCAGCTATTCTGTATGGGTTTATCCGGTGTCATTTACAGACACTTTCTGGCACTACATCATACTTCATTTTAAGATACTTCTTTCTTTGGAAAAGTCTATGGCTCCGTAAAATTGAAAGTGCTTTTTCTTACTTCATAGTCTAGATATGAAGTAAACCTCTGACCATGCTTATATGTAGAGTAACTTTTACGTGAAAGTTGTGGATCTGTTTACCTATTTAAAAGATTTTAGAAGGGAATTTAAAAATTCACATTCAATACTGTTTTGGATTTGGAAATTGAAATCTCATTTCTGGTTTATGAAGTAGGATTTATTAGACTAATGCATTAGTAAGGCGTTTTGTGGAGTTGCTTTTTCTGAAGTTTTGTAAAGAACGAATCAGTCTCTTTCTAGAATGCCTTAAGAACAGTTTATTCAAAAAGCAGAGGGATGGATGCTATGACCTTGAGGTCCCACTGAGTGCCAGAATTCTAAGTGGGTACATCTGCTTCTGTGCCTCTCCTAAGAGCCCTCTCCCAGGGCCTGTGCCTTCTTTAAAAGGGTGTCTTTGTAATTAAGCAGCCCTTCTCCCCCATCCCCCTTTCTTCCTCTGATCCAACTTTTTAAGGGCTTTTTTCCATTTGGAGACAAGAGGAGTTTCTCACATTCTTCTACTTTCCTCTTAAGGTTTCTTTTCCTTTCTCCCCCCAAAAGTGCCCCAAAGTTCTCAGGATGGTTAGAAATTTTGTTTTGTTGGGGTGGGGGGGTGTTACCAATGAGGAAGTGTTGAGGATATATTCCTTCTTGAGAAATGTTTGTGACCAGGTAGCCTCCTCCATGGAGACTGAGCATTTGGAATGCATGAGAACAGTCTATTCTTAGGGACTGTCTGGAAGAAATTGTCCTTTGCACCCATTAAGCCCAGCTTAAACCCACTGAAAGGAGTGGAGAGAGGTGTGTGTGGTCGTGGCTGAGCCTTTTAGGATGGTAAATGGGTAAATGTTCCCAAATCTCCTATTACATCACCTCTTTCCCCCATGGATTGAGTGGGTTTGGAGATCTGCTTGACAAGTTAATTAGCTTGGGACTAAACCAATTTGTTTAGAATTGTGCTCCATTGATTTCCTGTCCCCAGGAATTTTCGTTGGTGGTTTACTATGATGTGTTGTCTTTAGTCTTGCTTACTTCTTCGTTTCTTGCTGCCTTTTGTGGACTTTGGTCCAAAATCTAGGGTCCCACCCCCAAGTCAAAGGTTAGAATTTGGTCTCAGGAACTAAGGGGGCATTAAACAAGCTGCCCATACTGCTTTACTCTCCTCCGTGGTGGGCTTCTGACCCCTTTTAAAACAGAGAAAGGAGGGATGTCTCCCCTTCCACACACAACACACAAAATCTGAACTAGAAAAAAAGGAAAAAGCAGGAAAATAGGAGGTCATTTGCTTTATAAAAGAATCCACTACAGTTTTCTTTGAAAGAAATAGCTTTCCTAGTTAGTGCCTTTGAACTAGTGCCTTGATATATAAAAATTCACTATAACTGAGACTGCTCAGAAACATATTTATTGCATAAAGGAAGGCATTAGAATTTTGTTGTAATGATTATTTCTTGAATTAAGTGAGGCCGTTATTTGGCCTTTGAAATCTTTTAGTTACATGGCATGGAGTTAATTGTCTAAATCATTCTGGCTTGTAATAATGCTGGCCACGTTTAGCCCCAGCCTACATCTACTTGTAGAAGAGAGCTAGTATGATTTTCTGGAAATATATCAGACTTCATGGATTTTGGTGAGTCTAAGGATGGGACTCTATCCCATATAGGTAAAAGATTTAAATTCTAGTTGTTGTATTTGAATAACCGAAGGATCCAGAAAATTTTTTTCTGGTATTCTGTTCATGTATCTAGCAAGGCTGTCGAAAATAATAGCAACTGATGCCATTTTTAATCAAAGAATCCACAATAAGCTTTCCTAGTGAGCCTACTGGTGAGAGGGACTTGGCTCTGGGCCCAACTCTAAATCAGTTTACCACCCTTAGCAAGTTTCCTCCTCTGTAAATTGTGGGAGGTTGGACAGGGTGATTTTGAGAACCAGTTATCAAAAGCTTATGGTTCTCTTCTTAGGCCTCCATTTCTGGTGTGAATGTGAATGATTCCTACTAGAATGAGGTGTAACGGTTGTTAGAAGTGCAATCATGTAGTCACCTGGATGTAAAAAAAAAAAAAACCACAAAAAACAAACAAAAAACCTCTAAGGAGATATCAATAATCAATATATCAATATAAATGCATTGTATTTTGTATTTTAACAACATATCAAATTAAAAAGCTAAGACCCTGCCCAAAACTTCATCAAGAATCCCATCATCCTAACAGATCACCTGTGTTCATTTTATCTAGTTCCTTTCAAGTCCTTGTTTCTGTACTTGTATGAATTTTACAGAGTGAAGGTCATAGAAATGTACAATGCTGATTTTAAATTTTAAAAAGAGCTCACCTAAGACTTAGCTTTGTAAACCTATGTGGAGGAATGAAGTCAGAACCTGTCTGAGTACATATGAGGAATCACACACGCTTGTTCCTCCAATGCCAGAAGAAACTAACAGATTTAGTAAGTAATCCCTAAACCATTTCTGTAATTTAGGGTGTTCATGTATGTAGCAAGGCTTTTAATGCTACTCCCTTGACCTCATTACCCTTCCTCCACTCTTTTTAAGCAGAAAGAGAACTAGGATTCACTGTTTACTTTGTCTAAATCATTAGCAATGATTCTTAAATCACTGTATCATGATATCCCATCAAGAGAGTACAAATTTGGGTAGACTATGAAATCTCCCGAATGAGAAAGGAAAAGCGGAAAAGCACAAAAATTTTTAATAGCTTTGAAAATAATATGTTTAAATTAGAATAAATAATAGTAAGGAAACTAAGGGCTTTAGATAATTAAATAAAAGACATGTAGGTGTAGCAGGATGACCCACACATAAGAGGTTCTTTGTTTGAGGCTTTACCATATAATGAAAGTTCAGTTACACGGTCCTTTAATTTTCCTTTGATAATGAAGGTATAGTATACATATGATCTCCAATTTTGGATGGACTCACTCCTGGAAACCAATGGCTCTTCATAAATTAGATTAAATTTCATTAGCCAGAATAGGAAAGTAAAGTATGGGTTTTAGTACTTAGAAAGTATCAAGTTAAGTACAGGAACATTTTTTATGATATGTGTTCATGGGGAAAATGCAGATGGATATATTTGCTAACATCTCCTAAGGTGTTTTTTGAAAATCTACTTTTTTTTAACTGTATAGGCTGCCCTTGACATTTGTTAAGTCACTTTCACTATTGTCCCAACTCCATGAAATATCATTAGACTGCATGACTTGAAGCCAGGCTCTGGGTTTCTCTGCCCAACCCTTTCTGACTTGCCACGTGACCAAGGGTAAATGAATTAGATGCTCTGAGCTTCAGTTACCCTTCTGGGAAGCAAGGATATTAATATTTCACAGAGGTGTTTAGGCATGCTTCATATTAGGCACATGCTTTGAGGTCATTGGATGAAAGGTGTCTGCACGATGGCGGAGCAGGCTTATTATAGGGTTCTGAGCAGGTGTTCACTTTAATGAGCTTTGCTCTCTTATACAGTGCCCTTTGGTGCCTCAAATCCCTTACTGACTATAATTGATTGTCCCAACATTTGTATTATTGACCCTCTTGGCTTTTATAAAAAATTAAGCATTGTCATTCTGTGTGGTAAGTTGAAGTTCTAATAAGAGGACTCTAGCATCTGCTGGGGTGATGAAAAATAGCTTCAAAAAGAGACATTAGTTGGTATGTGCCATAGAGATCAGTGAGTTCTTCAAAGCTCTTCCAAAAGATTAAAAAGAGTAAAAAAAAAATTCTGCATGTATCTGTGTGTGTGTGTGTGTGTGTGTGTGTGTGTGTGTTTTAAGGGGGAAAGTTTTGAGTAACATTTGCTTGTGACACATACTGATGATAGCCAGTAACTGAAACCCAGCCATTGTAGTGTTTTATACACAGCTGGTTTTTATTAATGATGGAATATTTATGCTTGCTGTACAATTCGTGGCTCATTTCCATGTGTATGTCAGAACTTAAATACCCCCCAAAGCAACATTAAGATAACATTAAGTATAAATGTGGCCAAGCTAGAAAGGGTGGATTGGGGGAGTCCTCTTTATTCTTTTTGGTGTTGCTTCAGATCACAATAACTGCCCCCCAACTTTAGGCATTGATGCTGATCTTTTTTTTTTCCTTTATATATCCCATAGCAAACTTCATATTTTGATCCTTTTGATATGGACAAATGATCCCCCCCCTTTCATAATGCAGATGAAACTGATGTATGTGTTTTTTAAGAGCATATTTTCCCTGCACATGCTTCTCATTATCCGAGAGGCCTGGACTCAATCAGTAAAGGAGCAGAGAAACCACATAATTGAAAGGAGAATGACGGTGGTGCATACTTGGAATATTTGTGGGAAGGAGATTGCTGACATCAGAAAATGTAGTGGCCTGAGTGTTAACAGCATTGAAGAGAAATAAGCTTTCCGTGTTTCTGTGCATTGAGAATTATTTTTAAGGGGATAAAAATATGGGCCAGGTTTGACATCCTTTTATGAAGTTGCCCTGGAAATTTTGATGAAGGCTGTTATAGAATGGTTCAATTAAAACCTTCCCCATTAGGAAGCTAATTAGTACATCACTTACTCATTTTGGTTGTTTTCAAGGGGCATGGATTTGCATTGAATTAATGACATTCTTTTCCATGTGATAGCAAACTAAGATAAAAATCACAGATGGGGAAAATTATTTAGATTGCCTATTTTGAAGAAATCTAATCTCCTTTTTATTACATTTAGGTTTTCAGTTCAGATTTTTCTTTCACTCTGTTTATATACAGTGATCACATTTTAGTTTAGTAGCTAGTTTTACTTTCTGGATCATGGGCTGTAAACCAAAGCTTGTTAATTTGAGTTTCCCATATGAACTGAAGAAATATGACAAATGACAATAAACCATTCTATTAAAATAACATTTGGGGTTTTTTTCCTCCTACAACTAGTTTCTCTTTGGGGTGTGTGTGTATGTGTGTGTGTGTGTGTGTGTGTTTGGTGGAGGCAAATTGCTTTTTTAAAAAATAAATTTATTTATTATTAATTAATTAATTAATTTTGGCTGCGTTGGGTCTTTGTTGCTGCTCGTGGGCTTCCTCTAGTTGCAGCGAGCGGGGGCTACTCTTCGTTGTGGTGCACAGGCTTCTCATTGTGGTGGCTTCTCTTGCTGCAGAGCATGGGCTCTAGGTGTGCGGGCTTCAGTAGTTGTGGCTCACGGGCTTAGTTGCTCCGTGGCATGTGGGATCTTCCGGGACCAGGGATCGAACCCTTGTCCCCTGCATGGGCAGGGGGATTCTTAACCACTGAGCCACCAGGGAAGCCCCTGCTTTCTTTTTAAAACAAAAATTTTTGGAGCTAAGAAAAATTTGATGACCACCCCCCTCCCTTTACCCCCTAGAACATTCTGTCTGCCTCGGGCTCTCAGTTAGGCTTCCATTAGGACAACGTGATGACTTTTCTGTCCTGGTACTTTTTGTGACTACACTGAGTAGTTCTCCCTTGGCAGCCTGAAGGAGAGTGGTTATGACGGGAACTGGAGTGCAGGACTTCTAGCATGTTCTTTCTACTGTACTCCGTCTTATTTAGGGAAATGAATACTTGCTCCTGAGGGTTCAAGGCCATTTGCAATAGAATAAGTGCTCTGTAGCTAAATATGTAATATGGGTCTGCTGTAGTCTTCCTTTCTCCCATAACTAGTAAGGGACAGTCATTCTGTACATATATTCCCTGATGTTATGCCTGCGGCATATGTCTGCACTAGGTCTGGAGAGTAAGTGGGGGTGGGGGTTGGCTGAGTTATCTAATTTGTAGTTTAACTGATTTCACCCTACCCCTTCCTGAGAAGTCAGGGTCTAGATTTAGTTTTGCAGTGGCAACTCAGTCAAGACAGGTTCCTGGGGCTTGCAAGTCAGAGGGAGGAGGGGCAGCTGCCTTTGGGGAGTGACTCAGGCCCTTTGGTATGAAGATATGAAATGCTGGCTTCTGTCCATGCACCTGCTGGATGCCACACCTGCAATCAGCACCTGAGCCCCACGCAGACACAAAAACCAGACTGAAGGCAGATGGAGCTCCCTTCAAAAGGGGTACAACAAAACGGGGAGCTCCCAATTATGTTAGTGGAGCACGACTGTGAATGATTACATCCAGCCGTTCTAGTGTTGGTATGGGGAAATGTCGTAGATATTTTCTTACAGGTGCAGTGCACTGGCTTGCTCGAGAGACTGTTGGAGTCCCTAGGGAATTTGCTTTCCTAATGAATTTCTCCTGTGAACTGTCCTCTTAATAATTGGAGAGTCAGCTCTGTAGAAGTTTGTGTCTAGTAACCCAGCACAGGGCAGCAAGTCACAAGACTTGGGTTCTGATCCTGGCCTCACCAGTAAGCCACAGTGAAACCTTGGTCAAATTAATTATCATGAGCTATCTGTCCTGGACTTAAGCTTCTCCGGTTGTAAAATGGAATTAATCACATCGGCCTTTATTTCCTCACAGAGCTGCAGAGAAGGACAAATAAGATAACAGAAGTGAAAGAGCTCTTGTCTCCTTAGAAGAAAGGCTGAGAAACTTAAGGTAAGAGTATTATCGTTATTGCTATTCTATGTCTTTCATTCCTTTTCTTCTCTTTCTGTTGCCTCTAGCAAAGTCTTTGGAAAGTTATAGGCAATTATTAAACATGCTTTATGTACCAGTTGATATTTTGGGTGTTGGGAATGATACAGAGGAAAATCATGCACCTAGTCCATGCCCTCTAAGATTGCAACTTCCATTTCTGGCTCAGCCTATTATAATGATTTCTACCTGGGTACTTAGAAGCATAAAAGACAAGAATTGACTTCATTTTTTCTCTCTCCATTGTAACTGGGGACTTCTGTCCCTGGAGCGGTGTACTACAAGGTCTAGATTGAAGGTATGCGGGGGAAAAACCGTGCAGTGTAAATAAAGGAATTTCTCTCTCACTCCCACATTAGCAAAGTACCTGCCCCTTGAATGATCACTTTTTTTTCAGGCGTCTATCCTGAGCTTCATCCTTGATTCTGTTCTGCTCCTACTCTATATGATCCAGCCCACTCTTTGACCTTAGCTGTTATCCATATGCTAATAACTCCCAAAGATGTATATCAACCTATCTTTGACTCCTCCCTTTCAGCTTCCCCAACATTGGTTATCAGATTCTATGTCTCCTACTCAGTTCATGAGTTTTTTCCTCTAGGAAGTTTTGTTCAGGTGGCCCAGAGTTTTTTTGCAGGGTCCTCTGCATTGCCTGAGCTATCTGCTCGTACCTCTGGTTTCCCATTGGATTGTGACACCTCTGCTTGACTGGGAGCTCCTTGAGGACAGGACCCTGTTTTATTTCTCTTTTTTATCCATCCTAGGGCCTATACAGTACTTGGCTATAGTAAGTGCTCAATAAAGTTTGTGGAAAATATGGTGATAAATGTTGTGATAGAGATGTGTGTCCAAAGTCCAGTAGGAAGACTGAGAAGAGAGAATTAAATTTCCATATTGAGCAGAGCTGGGGGCAGGGGGAAGATGGAGAAGGACTAGGGAAAAGTCTTCAAGGAGAAGGTGGAGAGCGGAACTGCCCTCTTCTGAGAGTTCTGACAAAGCAGCCCAGGAAAGAAATGCTTGTTGTGTCTGCTCTTGCTAAGCCAGGGGCATCTCTGGACAGTTGCCTCCCCTGCCTTAGGACTGGATGACTTTTATGGTCGGATCTGCAAATAAACCTCTGTCTATAACACATTGACCATGTAAGACAGGTGCCACTTAGTCATATAATATTAAACAAGGCTGACCTTAAATGTGCCTCTTTAACCGTGGTTGAAAATAGAGGTACACACACAGGCTCATGGGTCATGTATGCTTAGTTCTATACAGCAAAATACCCTTTAAAATATATTGAAGATTGGTTCTGAAAATTAACAGATTGAAGTCTCAGAATGTAGCACATTGGGTCACTAGAACTGAATGTCTTTGAGCTGACTGTCAGATCTTTCCAAGGGCAAAAATGAAACATGATATCAGCCATTACAGGCCATGAACCTGTTCTCACCCACCTGATGCTTTTACTAATTAGCTTCTTGGCTGGGTGGCAATTTGGGGCAAGTGCATGCAAGCTGGATTCACAGGGGAGCCCACATTCCGCTCTGCCATTTCGCAAGCCACTGGGATACTACACTGCTCCTCTTGGCTTCTTTCCCTCCCAGGAGTCCTGCTCTGCCCTGGTGGAAAAATGGGAGCAGGAGAACTTTTCATTAAATGGAGAGATTTCATGGGGCTTTGGTGTTTTGTTAGTTTTATTTATTTATTTTTTTAGTGGGTTGTCTGAAAACATTCATGTTACTTGACCCATTAATTTCACTTCCGGGATACTATCATTAGGAAACAATCCAAAATATTGAAAAAAAGGCTAAATCACAAAGATGTTTTTGTAACATGATTTAGACTAGCAGAAAATGAAAAGCAATTTAAATCTCTTAATAATTGGAGAATGGGTCGGTGAATCTTGATACACTGGTTTAATGGACTGTTACACACAATGTTTGTTAAGAAGTCTATGCCACAGCATGGAGAAAGTGCTGATGACCAAGTGAAATGTCGGACCCAAAATGATATGTACGTTAATATTCCACTGCTTTGTAAAAATACAAAAACACATAGGAAAAAACTAAAGGAAATATTCTATAATGCTAACAATGCTTGGGTTGAGGTGCTGGGATTATGAGTGGGTTTTTTTCTCTTTGTTATCAATATTTGCATGTTGTCCTTATATTACTTGTAGAATAAAGTAAAAATAAAAGTGGGTAGTATGCCAGTGAAGACAGGAGATTGGTAAAGCAGGCAGCTTGTAGGTATATTCTTAAACTTTTCTTGGTTTATGCTCAATCTGATTTCATGGACTGTTTATACTTTTTCTGAGGCAAGAAGAAATAGGACATTATGGTGTGATCTGTTCCTCCCTTGGAATGGGTGTGCGTGGAGGGAGGTGGAGGGGTGGTGGCAACAGGATTCTCCTTGTTACTCAGTGTTTCACTGCTCATGTACACTTTAGGGTTAATCACCTTTGTTGCCTATTACCGTGTTCAAGCTAATTGTTTTAGAGTTCAGAAGAGTAAAACTACCAAATTGACCACGCCTTGAGTTATCTGTGAAACAGATAACTGACACTGGTCCAAGATTTGGAAATGCCAAGGACTTACCGTGGTTCTTAAAATAATTTTCCAACCTAATCTAGATAGAAGTAGAGATAGGAGCAAAGAGGTGGGGCCAACTCAAAGCCTGTTCTTAAGCTAGCGCTGAACTTAAATAACAGTAAGTGCCAAGTTGGTATGATGTTGACAAGACCTAGAACAGGGTCCGGGAAACATTGATCAGTGGAGATTCCTGTTGCTCTCCAACCTACCTGCATATCATAGCCTAAAGAGGAGAGATTTTGCAGGGTCCTTCTGCCATACTTCTGGCTAAACGCCTTCCTCTTACATTTTTGAATTTTCCCTCCTGCCTTTAACATTTTACTTACAATGGAATTGGAAAATTGAAGGTAGCATTAAGCCAGGTTTATAATCTGTTAAAACCAGAGTCAATTCAATTTAATTAATATTTATTAAGCATCTTCTATGTACGAGCTAATATGCTAGATAATATATTGTAGTGGAAGTGCTATTACCCTAGAAGTAATAAAACCTGCACTCTGGTCCTGGCTCTGACCACTTTTAAGCTCTAGGAGCTTCATCTATAGAAAGAGAGGGTTGAAGCACTAGATGGTCTCCCAAGAGTCTTTCTACTTCTAGCCTTCACTTATCTAAGGACACCTGCACAAAAGACTGAGTTGCAAATAAAGGGTTTAAAAGAAAAAACCCTTACTTCATAAAATTGCTGTACCCTTCTAGAAAAAGACCCCTTTGAAAAAATAATATTCATAGATAATATTTATTGAGCCTTTACTATGTATCAGGCTCTGAGCTTAGCACTTTACATAGATTACTTCCCTTAATCTTTATAACAACCCTTTGAGGTATGAGCACCGTTAGCCCTATTTTGAAGATGATGAAATTGAGACTTAGGGAGATCAAGAGACATGTATGAAGTCAGTTAGTAAGTCATAGATCCAGGATTCGGACTTGGGCAGTGTGACTCTAGACCGAGGCTTTTAACCATGGTATTTATACTGCCTGCCCATTACCCAGTGAAAGTTTAGGGATAACCTGCAAAGGGACCATTGTTTCTTACCTCCCAAAGGAAGCAATTAGTATCTTGCATTGCAAGACTCTTGGGAAAGCAGTTCTCTAGTACACTTCAGGCCACAATATGGACCAACGTGAGAGGACATGAGAGAATTCAGTGGGCTGTTTTGCATCTTTGTGTGGGAGGTTGTGTGTGAGTGTGGGTGTGTGTGGGTGTGTGTGGGTGGGTGGAGGCTGTGTGTGTGTTTTATGCACAAATACGTGCACGTAGGTATAGGGAAAACTTTGAACTGGCTTCTTTCCATTTAGCTGGAAGTAAAATGGTATGAAACAAGTTGACCAAGATTTAGCAGAGAAACAGGTTCCCTAGACTTAGATTCTTTATCCTGGTTGGTGGAGTGAGGGGTGGGGGCAGAATAGGAGGAGGAGGTAGAAGGGATAGAAAGAAGATCTTATAGGCAGATTTCAAAATTAATTGAAGGGTAGGAATTCGGTCTGCCCTGCCCACCTTGTAATGTTGATTTTCTGGGTCTTGGCTTGGGAAATATCTGGGCTCTCACTAATGTGTTTCATTTTGGCTCGGCCCCTCAGGTATACTGGGAGTGGCCGATGACTGCAAATGGAGTAAGAATTTAGCTTGGCCTTGCTGCCCTGTTGTTGCTACAAAAGAGTTGAATATATAGATTCCAATTGCATTTTTAAAGAGAGAACCATGGATATCCTTTCTTCCCCTATCAAGTATCCTCAGGGAGTGTCTGTTTGTCCAGGGGAAACAAGGTTATTTTATTGATTGAAGATGATGTCAGACCCCTGGCAGTGGCATGATTAAAGCTGTGGGCAGATTAAAGGTTGCAGAGTTCATAACTATTTTAATTCTTGCGCATGAGACAAGGAATCTTTTCCTTTCCTTTCTCTAATAAATAAATGGAGTAGTGTTCCCCTTCTTATGTGACTCTTATCATGTAGATGAACATAAGTTCTTTAAGGAAAAAAAAATCAGTAAACTGGAGAGGAATCAGCAAAGCTTTTTTCTTAGACGGATTTCTTTTCCTCTTTTAAACAGAAACAAAAAAGGCCAGGGGGTGGGGTGGTGGGGAGGGACAATCTGTGTCCGGTTGACATAAAGTGGTTTGGGTTTTGAAAAGGATATGGAGGAGAGGGGACAAAATTAAAGGAAGAGAGTAAGATTTTGGATATGTAAAGTTTTCTTGGTGAGGAGCTGGGTGCCAGGAGCAAGCCAGTCAAAATCAGCATGAAGAATCTAAATAGTACTGGAAAAGAATTGTAGTGGTTTCTCACCAGGGGCTCAAGTTTAAAAGCCTTGGGCTGTTTTCTGCGTGTTTCAGTTGAAGAAAAAAAAAAAGACAACTGTTTTGTTCAAAATTGGACAATAGAAGCACAGCGGTTATTTACCATAGCTCTGTTAATAGCCCAGCTTTGATTCCAATTAGAAGTTGTTCCTCTGTTTTGAAATTAGGGGAGACACCCAAAAATAATTACCTTGCATATTGGAGGTGATTTTGCTTTTGCTTGTGATTATACGTTGGACCGAAACAAGATGGAAAGACAAATTTCCATGTTTGTTCACTGTATATCTGTTCATTTTATTTTTGGCAACATTGCAAGGAAATAATGTTAAATTAATCACTGTGTGGTTTTGTGGATTTTCTTTTTTAAACTTGGATGTTTTGGACATGCTCCCAAAATACAGGGATGCTTGTGTGCTTCCTTTGCATTGCTTTGCTCCTCAAATGGTGTCCCTGGTGTGGATTAAAGGCTTTCCTTTAAGTGATACGAGTGAGTCATGGCTAGGCCAGGGAAGAAAATAGGAATGTAGAACATGTGCCTCTCACCTAAACACAAACCCTTCAGTTTCATAACCATTTTGGTTGGACCTGCAGGGCTTTTCTGAGGGTCAAAGGAGTAATTCGAAATGAGGGCTATGTCAGATCCATATCTGGTGGGCGTTTGCATCTAGTCTCTATAATGTGAGTCCAGTAGTTTCCTTTTGTGGAGATACTGGGGCAGTGGAAGTGCTGAGAAAGCAAGTTGAGGCATCTTCTTGGAGAAGAGTTGCTGCTATGTGTGGAGAAGGGCAATCACTTTTGCTACTCCAGTAAGAATGGATGGGCCATTGATCAGATTGTAAGCTCTGTGAGGGCAGGAACTATGTGTTGTGCGTCCTTTGTAACCCTCATTGTGTTTAGCACAAGGCTGGAAAATGTGTGGAATAGCCAGGATGCAAGAAGTACTTAATGACTTGGTTGAAGAGAAGCTTGGGTTTTCTTCTGCCCCCCTGAGGCTGTAGCAGTTAAATCAGGAGCTTCACCGAGTGTTCTTTTTTTGTCTAAAATCTACCTTTTGATGACTGCCTTCCCTTCTGGGATGTGGGCCAGTGAGTCTCACTTACCTTTCCTGCTACTGATAGCAGATTAAATGTTGCACCCAAAAGGTGACAGTAGTTATAGCTTTTGTCGTCACCTACCATTCCAAGTCAGAATGGAAGCAGCTGCTCCTGGGGGCTGTGAGGCTAGAGCAGAGCAATCCTGAACATTTCCATCCCCTGGAGACTGGACGAACCCCTGAACACAGCCGCTGGAGAGTGAGGTTTCTTTTTGTCCTTGTGGAAATGGACTCTGCCACTCACATAAAAGGCAAGCACACGGCGGGTAAAGTCATCCCCTTGGAAGGACTGGTTTGGTTAACTGTTGGCCATTGGTGGCAAAATAGAAACGACGTTTTTATTTCTCCCTCCCTCCCCTTCCTGACCATTTCAGAGTGACCAGTGGTTGGACTCTTGGCGGCGCTTACCCTGAACCTGAGTGTTAGGGGAGAGGGAATCTGCCGTTGCGGTTTCTGGAGCTGCTCATAAGCAAGAATTCCCTATCCTGAGCAAGGCTTTAAGCCTAAAAGAAAGCAGAAATAGGTATGGACCATCGGTGTGAGTGGGTGCCGGTGTGTGAGTGCGAGCCCGGGTGTGTGCAGGGCGGGGCGGGTGTGGGGTGGGAGGGGGTGGTGCGCTCTTCAGAGTCTGCATTTCCCTGCCTTTCAGGAAGGGTTTCTAAGTGATTTTGTTTGAACCATACATGCTCCCATTTCTATTTTTTGGAGAGAAGAGAAGTAGTTTTCTAGTCATCTTTCCAGTTTCAGGCACCAGCAGAAATTTATATGTTATACCTGTCAGCCTAATAGAAAATCGCAATCTGACAGTTTAAGTACAGGAGTCCCAGAGGGTCACTGCGAGAGAGGGAAAGTGGACTTAAGGGCAGGTTGCTCAGCCCCTTGGTGCGTACTTCCCCCCAAAATATGATGAATGGGATTTAAAAGGGGCCTTTGGAAGGTTAACTGTGGGGTGAAACTGCTCAATAAAACAATTAGAAACCAGGTAGCAGTAATCACGCGAGAAGTGCAAAAGGAGGGGGGATGACCTTTTTCCATCTACCACACGCATCTTCTGGGTCACTCCCTGCAAGACTAAAGGAAAAGGGGTCATGTTTCCAGAGAGACTGGAGACTATTTCAAATCATAGAAGTCAGGGCCTGGGAGCCAGGACTCCAAAGTTCTCATCTAGGAACCCGAGGCTGGTTAGGTTGACCTAATTGTGACTTTTTGTGTGACATCATGTCCATTCGCCAACACTACTTAAGATCCTTGAAGTGAAAGTTTCACTACTGAATATTGGTATTGAATTGCAGGACTTAACATGACAGATTCTGTCCAAAGATTTTATGAGCCTCTAATGAATTTGCATAGACTATGCTGTGCAGAGAGAGAGAGAAGAGAGAGGTCACCTACTACCATTTTTCAGGTGGGAAAACAGAAGCCAAGAAAAGAGGAATCAATTGCTTAGGTTAACCTGTAAACCCACACACAGCATGATTAGAATTTGAGTTTTAAGTTGTCTTTACTACTGATATCCATTTCACTCAACCCATATTATTTCCCTAAGAAGAATTGGGGTGGGGGAAGGGATATGGTAATCATACCCTTTCCAGAAGGATGACCTTTTAGTTTTTCAATTTCTAAATGCTGTCAGTGGCACACTTCAAATAAAGAGGGCTTCCCCTTTAAGCTCCTCCTACCCAACAACAACAACAAATTCTCAGTGACTATTTCTGGATGGCTGAAAGAGAAACTTTGTCAATAACAATTCTCCCAAGCCCTTCTCTTACTAAGCCAAGGAGTATCCAAAATGGACAATACAAAAAGGATTTAAAAAAAAAAAGATATGTTTCAGAGTTTTATGAGATCAGAGAAAAAGATTTGCATCAAGCAGAGATCATTTCTATCTGGTGCAAGCCAAGCTCTCTTCACTTTTTATTTATTTGAGTTATTATTTGGCATTTTGTAGCTCCCTCCACATGCTGAACAGCTTTACAGATCCTGCCTATGGGGTAATTTCCCTCACGGTCCTTCCCCCGCTGCCACAACCATAAGAGTTGGATTTTTCATTTCAGTAGAATACAGAGAGATGAACTTTGTAAGGACCTAGGAAAATTGCCCTCTCTGATCACCCTACTTGGCTGCTTCACGTTTCCCCAGTGCTTTTAGGAGTTAAGTCAAGATTGAATACTTAACCCAGGCTAAAAGTAAAAGAGGAAACAGAGGGCTCTTATGCCTCCAAGTTCCTCATCATGTCAATGTTAGAGCCAGAAGCCACCAACAATTAACTGATTAATTCTAGATTCAGTTCTCTACTTTGTCTCTGCAGTGGAATCCTCACCCCCAAATACTCATTTTCTTCCCCTTTAGAGGACTGATTTATCCATCACCTGGATGTTAAGCTTCCTGTTTCCCCTTCCCAGGTCAAGGGCAGCCCAGGTGCCCAATTTCTCTCTCTCTTCACAAGGCACCACCAGCAATAGAGATGAGAAATTCTGAAGAACAGCCAAGTGGAGGAACCACAGTATTGCAGCGTCTGCTACAAGAGCAGCTCCGCTATGGCAATCCTAATGAGAATCGCAACCTGCTTGCCATACACCAGCAAGCCACAGGGAACGGCCCTCCTTTCCCCAGTGGCAGTGGGAACCCAGGCCCTCAGAATGATGTGTTGAGTCCCCAAGACCACCACCAACAGCTTGTGGCTCATGCTGCTCGACAAGAACCCCAGGGGCAGGAAATCCAGTCAGAAAACATCATCATGGAGAAGCAGCTTTCCCCTCGAATGCAGAATAACGAAGAACTCCCGACTTATGAGGAAGCCAAGGTCCAGTCCCAGTACTTTCGGGGCCAACAGCATGCCAGTGTCGGAGCTGCCTTCTATGTCACTGGAGTGACCAACCAGAAGATGAGGACTGAGGGACGCCCGTCAGTTCAGCGGCTCAATCCTGGAAAGATGCATCAGGATGAAGGACTCAGAGACCTTAAGCAAGGACATGTTCGCTCCTTGAGTGAACGACTAATGCAGATGTCACTGGCCACCAGTGGAGTTAAGGCTCATCCGCCTGTTACCAGCGCTCCCCTCTCCCCACCACAACCCAATGACCTCTACAAGAATCCCACAAGTTCCAGTGAATTCTACAAGGCCCAAGGGCCACCTCCCAGCCAGCATAGCCTGAAGGGCATGGAACACCGAGGCCCCCCACCAGAGTATCCCTTCAAGGGCATGCCACCCCAATCTGTAGTGTGCAAGCCCCAAGAGCCAGGGCACTTCTATAGTGAGCATCGTCTGAACCAGCCAGGGAGAACAGAGGGGCAACTGATGAGGTATCAGCATCCCCCTGAGTATGGAGCAGCCAGGTAAGAGAGTTCCCTTTCTGTCATTCCCTGACCTCATCCCCAACCAGCTTCTGCTGTGTGTTGGGAATCTTAAGGGAAGGAATGGGCAGGTGTTTGGTATAACAAACTCTGCAGTGCATGGCTGGCCCCTGGCTTAGCAAATTTCCTGCCAACCTGAATTTCTAGCCTCTTCAGCAGTCACTAGCCCTGTATTAACATACCCTTGACTTTATAGGTTGAGCATGGCCCCAGCTGCCTAGTGGCTGAACAGGAGCGCAAGTCTTGATTTCAGCAGCTTTTCGCTGTCCGGTCTCCTCAGATATTGAAGGAAGAGTCAGTGTTCCTCTTCTTGTGAGTTATTAAGCCCTTCTTTGAGGGGAAGTAAATTATCTTGCGCTTGAGTCTGGAATATCCTATCACTTTCATTTATTCTCCTCCACAAAGCTCTCTTCACTAATTTTTGCAAACAAATCTTTCTGCAGAATTTGTATGATTTTCTCAGACACTAAACAAACATCCAGATATTGTTGGGAGAACTATATATGTGCAGGTTCAGAATGTGACTTGCCGTGTACTTCCTTGCAGTTCCTGAAGTCTGGACTGCTTCATCTTTCTTCTGTAGAGAGTTTGTTAGCTGCCGGTGACGTTTTTAAACATCTAAGTCAAATTCACCTCATATCATATAGATGCTAAAATGCAGAAGGAAAAATATTCCCATGGCTTCTGTACAACTTGCCATTAGTTCAGGAGGACTGTTTTGTATATTCATTAATTCCTAAATGTACTTCTGAATTATTCAGGGACCGATTGACTCATTGCTGTATCAACCGGACCTTAGGATTCTATGATTCTGTTCATTGTTCCTGTTGGGGCCATGTCTCCAGTCAGGAGTATTTCAGCATATGGGACAGAGGGAAGGTTTCAACCTTGGGCAAAAATGATGGCAGTTATGTGTGGTATTCCTGCCTTGTTACCATGGGTAGTTATGGGTGGCTTTTTTCCATAGGCAGCCCCTAGACGAGGCCTGTGATCTCTTTGATGCCTAACTTTTTGCCTCCTGTCCCCTCGTACTCATTTGGGAAAGAGTCTCTTGGCTTGAAGTATAGTGGGTGACTCAAGAAAGAAGGCAGTCAGTGGGTGGAGTAGGGTGAAGGTAAGAGAATGCACCTGGCATTTCCTGGTATTTCATTTTTTTCACCTCTAGGCCCTGTTTTTTAGCCAGAGGCAATTCACTTTGGGCTCCACCCCTAACTTTGCCAGTTTAGGATTTTTTTAATTCCTTAACCCAGGCTGATTTCCTAACCTTTTTCAACCTCCTCTGTGCAGCATTCAAAGGGCAGGAGCCTAATGTCTGATAAGTGGCTTGAAACAGGAAATGGGGTAATGGACAGGGCCCTTCCGGTTTAAATGAGCAAGAACCCAATTCCCATCTGCCCAACGAAATGGAAGACCCAGGGAGGGGTTGGTCCATTGGACTGCTTAGCTTAACGGAAACCCATCCAAACCAGCAACACGGCAGTGAAGCTGGGGGGTTTTATTTTGCTCTTTTCAGCAGCATGGAAGAGCGTGTGGGACTCCCTCCTGTATGTGAGTGGGCTGTTAAGTGTATTGCCTTGTGGGAGGGGAGTGTGTTGGCTGGGGTGTGGAGCAGAATCCAAGCCCCGCTCAACACATGGCCCGCCTTCCCAGGAAAGCTATTTTCAGAACTCATTCACTAGCATTGTTTGTGATCTGAAATGACTCCCACAGTGTTTGAAGCTAGATAGAAAAGCCCTTTGATCTGCCTAAAAAAATATTAAGGAGCCCAAAGAGAGATTTTTTTTCCTCCCCATAGTGATTAAACCACCAGAGAAACTTAGCTGCATATATTTAACTGGAAGGTATTTGTATTTTCTCCTCCCTCCTATGTTATCTGTGGCTCTCTCGCTCTATTCCCCAAAGCAGTAGATTCCACGCTGATTACCCTCTCTTGAGCGGTATTTTAATACACAGGGTTGCTGGAACAGTTTTTTTTTTTCCTCTATGGGAGAGGAATAGGGTGCTTGATATGCTCAAAGAATAGTCAAGCCTAAGACAATCCTAACCAGAAGATGCTCTTTGTGAGCTTTGGGTCTGCAGCAGACAAACTCTGGCAATAAAATTTTTGCAGAGCCTGGGGTGAGGGTGTGGCACGTATTGACAAATTACTGGCAATGGGAGGTCCTTGAATTGCTTTCCGTAAGTATACCACTTTTAGGTGGTGGCACATTCTTCCTCCTTTATTTCCTTTAACCAACTAGCTGGACAGTTTGTGAGTACCTTTCCAAGTAACTGCCGCTAGCACCAAACGATTAGAAGACAAAATCCTTAGTTCTTAATCCACAAATTACAGATCAAGATTCAGAGTAAGCTCTTTGAACAAATTGTTCAAAAAACCTTTGTTGGCCTTTAGAGGTGCGGTGAAATGCTAGAGATTTACTGTTAAAATGAACAAAACGTTATAAACAGTCTTTTTTATTACTTCATCTTCCCTATGCCCTCCTCCCCACTTAAAAAATAAATATCCTGAATGCCCAGAACTCCAGATGGGAAACAAGGCCAAGCCATCTGAAGAATTAAAACTTTTCTGAATCTTTGTCTTTCTAAGTGCTGAGCCTTTTCTGCATCCGGGGTTTATACATTTATCAACTGCTTTTAAAAATTAAATCCTTTCTGTTTGTAAAGCAGCCACCTCCTTTCAATTGTTGAAATCATGCCCAGATCTGAGGTTTCTTGAAATCCTTTTTTAGTGGAATCTAAGGGTGACCTAACTCTGTAGTTCAGAGCGGAGCTGGTTGTGCAAGAGAAACAATCAGGAATTTGCAGCCCTCTCCAGGATTCAGAGAGTAACCATCACAGAGCCTGGGAAAGGCACAATTTCTGTGGGGAGAATAAATTGGGTTCCAGGCTGTTGGCACCTGCTCTGGTGAGAGTGTGCATGTGCGGGCTTGCACACGTGTAGGCCAGGAGTGTATAGTGTGCTTTGGGGGTGTGTGGGGGGGGGCTGTGTGTCTGGGAAGGGCAGGGGCTCCAGTCAGAGAGGTGGCAGGGTGGAAGTTGCTGTGTCAGCTCAATGGATCTGCTTTTGCTTTCCCTTTGTGTCCTCACAAGCTGTCTCCGGGAGGGATTTCCCCCGGCTTTGAGGAGATGCTGATTTTGGTCACTGGCCTCTGTCCTGCGTATATGTCAGGTCTCCTTTTCCGCAGAGCACCTGGGGCCCAGGTTGTCTTAGGAAGGAGAAGGATGAAGGGAGGGAAGGGGCAGGGAGGCAGGTCAGGGCGTCCATGGGATCATGTGATTGTGTGGTCTACAGGCGGCTTGTTGTTCCTGGTTAATGTGTCAGTGGGGAGAGATTCCTGCTGCTGTGCAGTGGAAGGACCTGGGGAGTGTGCCGCTCACCCAGCTGCCACCTTTATTATTACTATTACTTTGATTATTTTTTAATCTTGAGTGTAGTTTTGCTTCCTCTGACATTCCCCCAGCTCGCTCCCACTCCCGTCATTCCTCAGTCCCCTTCTCTCAGGGGGAAATTCACAGGAGTGTTAATACTGTCCTACTTTTTCATGGTGGGCGGATGCCGGAGTCCAGATGGAGTTCGTTGGCTGGAGGGCTTTCTCTCCTTTTGCGACTGCCCAAACCTTGCTTCGTGTTTGCAAACCTGCCAGGGACGGACTGCGTTGGTTTTCCCAACATCACGGTGCACTGAAATCTGCTCCCTTTTCCAGCCTGGGGAACCCAAGGGGCAGCTGCCTTTTCTCCACTTATCTTTAGGCAGAGCCCAGAGTCGTGGCCGGGGCCACTGCCATCCTGGGCTTATCCTACCCTGGAGACCTCCTCCCAGAGACCTTGTGGTCTCTCCTTTCCCGAGGCCCCTGGGAGGCCATGTTCTGTCCAGGGCATGGAGGGGCCTTTCAGGAGGGAGGCCAGTGGCTGGTCTGTTTGAGAGAGAGGTCTGGGTTGCCGATGGGACCCAGGGGAGCTGTGGGAAGGAGGCCCAGTTCACAACTGGGCATTCAGTCTTTAAAAGAGAACACCTCCCGGGCCTTGGGTTTCCAAACCGTGGCACTGAGGATGAAGGTTAATATGGTCATTTACCCCTTAAAATTTGAAAGCTGGATCGAAGAACATGAAATTTAAGCCCCTCTTTTCTGCGCAAGATATACAAAAGCCCCAGCAAATCCCAGGACATCATGCTTTAACTCTAGGGATGTATATAAATTATAATAGCTCTTAGTAGAAGTGGAAGGAGAGCACATAGTCCATTTTACCTCTGAGGAAACTGAAGATCCACAGCATGAAAAATGCAGAAAGACTCTCCCCCAAGTAAGTTTATAAACAGCTCCCAGGCTTTTGATTGAATGAGTGCTTTGAGCTCTTCGACATAACGGTTATGTATGGTAGCAACTTTCCAGTTGTAATCATAAAAACCATGTAAATTCTTCTGTCTACAAAAACTTTTCCCTCTTCAATATTCAACAATTATTTATAGTGACAGATGTGTGAAATTGGAAGAGTGTGGGCACACCAGACACATTGATGGGGCTGAGAGACAACCTTCGGCTTGAGCAGGTTCGAGGGCTCTGGCGAACATCTGGGTTATTGGATATCTGTGAGCAAGTGTTTGGAATGGTTTTGTAGCTGTAAAAATCCCTCATAGTGAGGATCTCTTGTAGAGAGAGATAAATGAACAGTAATGACAACTGGAGTGTGTGTGGGAGGGATGTGCTTTAGCATCTGGAATGCCTGTTAAAAGTTAATTGCTCCTGGTGATGCGTCCCAGTTTCACCACAAATTTTATGCAATTTAGTGCAAAGATTAAGTGGATATCCCATAAGTAAAATCACTAACAGGGTCAACCATTCTCATTGGGAGGTAGATATGAGACTCTTTGTAATTCCTATGGAGCTCAAAACTGAGAAGAGTCCAGTATTTTTGTAATTCATTTGTGACCTCGGGAACAAAATAGGTTCATGCAGATGAAGTAACTTGAGCAAGGTTACACAGCTAGTAAGCAGTAGGAAAGGTCTCCAAACTCTGTTGGGATCCAAATCCTGTGCTCTTAGCCATCTGTCTTCCCTGGATTGAGAAATATCAACTGTAGGACAGGCATCCACAGGATGTGGGAGTATATGAGGGTAGCCGGGCATGGGCTAGGGGGTGAACAAGTTCTTTTGTTTTCAGTGTATACCGACATATTCTTCCTGGTCATGGTGATGGTAGAAGTGATCCATCTGCATACTCTGATTGTTTCCCTTAATGGCTGATAGTCCAGTATTAGGTACAAAAATGGAAGAGTCACATTAAACCACGTACCAAAGTTCTCTTTCTAGAACTTTCTATAAGCAATAGGCTGGGAATCTGAACATCAGTGGAAATCATTGCATTATAGTAGTGGAAAGAACCAGAAAATGGGACTTAGGTTCTACCCTGGAACTGCCACTAACTCACCCTGTAATATTTGGCAGATCACTTCCCCTCTCTGTACCTCAGTTTCCCCCTCTGTCCAATGACAGAGTTGAACTAAAGGATTTCTTTAAGGCCTTTCCAGTCCTTACATTTTGTGATTCAGTTAAGTCAAAAATAGTATGGTAGTGTTGCCTGTAATCCCCTCCAAATCTTGGGATTATTGCTGCTAAAAGGCATCATTCAATTATTAACTGTAATCAACAATAATTATTTGGTGTCTCTAATGTAATAAGTACCTGTATATCCTCAAGTAATTTTCTGTGACTATATGAATTATCCAAGAAAGTTGCAGATAACACGATGAAGGGTTGTTTTGATGACGGTTTGCCGTTTCCTTCTGCGTAAGTGGAACGAACTTTCTAACTGTGACTCTTTCTGTGTGCCGGGCCACATGTAGAATGCCAGCAAAGGGTTAGTTTAAAATCCTGAGGTGACAATTACCTAGTTGAAGACGAATTTGAAATGCTTCCCCTTGAATAACCAGTGTACAAGGATGCATCGCTTAGATTTTCATAAAGCAACCTTGGAGGTCATCTGGTTCCATCCTGCATGGGATCACACCTCTGTCGGTCAGGTATTCACAGGACCCCGTAGTCTAACCCTTCCTGCTCCTCATTTCTCAGCTGCCTGGGGGCCCTGGGAGCCTCGTCTTCTCCCTTTCTTGTGCCCCTCTCCCCAGTGCCTTTAGAGGGATCTTAACCTGAGCACACCCTCCATGTTTTCCAGGCCAGCGCAGGACATCTCATTGCCGTTGTCAGCCCGGAACTCTCAGCCTCACAGCCCTACTTCTTCCCTCACGTCTGGGGGTTCCTTACCCTTGCTGCAGTCTCCACCGTCCACTAGATTATCTCCTGCCCAACACCCCTTGGTCCCAAACCAAGGAGACCACTCAGCTCACCTGCCTAGGCCGCAGCAGCATTTCCTTGCTAACCAGGCTCACCAGGGGGATCATTACCGTCTCCCCCAGCCTGGCCTGAGTCAGCAGCAGCCGCAGCCACCGCCGCCGCCACACCATCACCACCATCACCAGCAGCAGCAGCAGCAGCAGCCAGGAGAAGCCTATTCAGCTATGCCTCGGGCTCAGCAGTCGTCTGCTTCGTATCAGCCAATGCCAGCCGACCCTTTTGCCATTGTTTCCAGAGCCCAGCAGATGGTTGAGATTCTCTCAGATGAGAACCGGAACTTGCGGCAGGAGTTGGAAGGATGCTATGAGAAGGTGGCGAGACTGCAGAAGGTGAGGCCCCCCTATGGGGATATTTGAGTCTTTTTGAAATCTTATTGGTTTAATATCGATGTAAAAGTCTCCACTTGTGGGTCCCTGCGTGACTTATGGGCGCATCTTCAGGATTCTTATATTTCAAGGTTATAGATGGAGCAAACTTTGGAAAAGCGTTCTGCCTGTCTTTCTAGCAGAAGTAACATTTCGCAGACCCCATAGCCCTCAAGAAAGCTTAATTGAGTGTTTGAGAAATACGAAAGGCAGAGAAACTGCTTCAGAAAGTCAAGAACACTGGAGAGGTCTGTGTAGGTGAAGGACCTGCCAGCATAAAGACTTTTCCTTTTGATTATATTTTCCCAAATATTGATTTTGAATGTTAAATATAAACCCATAGTTCCCAGAAAAATCTCACCACTGAAGTTAGATCCTGCCCTGCCTTGTTCTGGAAAGGGCTTAGAGTACTTTTCCGAGTGGCAGTTCTCACAGTAACCCTTTTTCAACACCCTTTCCTTTTCCCTCTTCTTGCTTTGGTCCTTCCCTGCAGATCAAATTCAACGTCTGCTCTCTTTCTCTGGTGTGTGGGGGGGGGGGGCAGGAGGGGCTTAGCACCACAGCTGGGTGACAGGTGACAGCCCTAGGCTGAGGAAGTAGCAAAAGGAGTGTATGTCCCAAGTTCACGTTCTTTCCTGGGCCCCTCCTGAGTCTACTGCAGCTGGGACTTTAGCTCTTGAGTGCCCTAAGCTAGGAACCTTACCCCTTGGCTTCCAGTGGCTGTTGGTGAATGGGGTTATGCCTTTGGCAGCCTCTTTACAGCTTTTGTCATTGTGGAGCTCCTGTGGTTTGATCTCCTGACAATGCAGACTGTTCAGGGAGGTGAGGGTGAAGGTGGAGGAGGGAAGGAATGTTGCCTGGTATTGTTCAGCGACTCTGTCCTTAGAAGACACCCAGGAGTGGAAATTTCAGGGGCCTGAATGAAGCTGACAATATGTAAACACCAGATCTGAGTCCTAATGAAGAGGAGGGCTTACTATCAGCTAAGTATTTTTATGTAGCAAAAAATGCTTACCACCTACCCAGTGTTCCCAAGTCTGGATGGGGGTTGTTGGGTAAGAAATGTTTCTTCCCAGCTTTGCCCACAAGTTAAAATTTTCTCCCTCCTCTCATACCTGCCCCCCCATCACATTGGCACAATAAATTAAGCATACTCACACACTAGAAGCAGACTGGCCCATTGGCTGATTAGGTTTAACAGTTGACACCGCTCCCTAAACTCTCTATTCATGGTGGCCCTGACCCCATCTTTGAGGCAGTAAACAAAGGATGATGGACCCAGATCTTCTGCAGGCTCTCTTTGCCAGAGGATGGTGGATTTTTTTTGAGGGGGAGGGTGGGTGGCAGGGAAGCGGAGCAGAATAGGATTTGGGTTGTTGTTTTGTTCCCCAGTATGGGGAAAGATGCCTCAGCCAAGCATAATCGGGACAGCTTGAGTGTTGGGAGAAGTGAAGGCCGACCCAGTGCTGCAGCGCATTAGAGGCACAGGTTGGGGAGAAGAGGACAAGGAAAGTGGAGAGAATAAGGTAGATATCAGCTGGTGCTAGAAAAAAGAAGGCCCGAGGCTCATGAGGGGAATAAGTAGACAGAATAAGTCTGGAAACCTACCACCATCCTCCCTCTCCCCTGCCCGCAGACCAAACCAATGGATACGCCCTTCTGTGACTTCTTTTCCTGGAAGGTCCTGTTGACAGATGTACAACTTGCCCTTTTGGAGGGAACAGTATCTACAAAGAGGGTAGGGAAAGGATTGGTACAACATCTTGAAAGAGTCCTCTGAACAGCTTGAGTAAAGGGACAGCCTTCCACGAGGATGAGGAGAAAAGGGAACCCTTTTACACTATTGGTGGGAATGTAAATTAGTGTCGCTACCGTGGAAAACAGTATGGAGGTTTCTCAAAAAACTAAAACTAGAACTACCATATGACCCAGCAACTTCGCTCCTGGGTATATATCCGCAAGAAACAAAAACACGAATTCAAAAAGATACATGCATCCCAATGTCCATAGCAAAATTGTTTACAATGGCCAAGATATGGAGGCCACCTAACTGTCCACCAACAGATGAATGGATAAAGAAGATGTGGTATGTATACACACACACACACACACACACACACACACACTGGAATACTACTCAGCCATAAAAAAGAATGAAACTTTGCCATTTGCAGCAACATGGATGGATTTGGAGGGCATTATGCTTAGTGAAATCAGTCAGACAGAGAAAGACAAATACTGTACATTATCACTTATATGTGGAATCTAAAAAACAAAACAAACTAGTGAATATAACAAAAAAGAAGCAGACTCAAAGATATAGAGAACAAACTAGGGTTAAGAGTGGGGAGAGGGGAAGGGGGAGCGGAGAGATAGAGGCAGGGGATTAGGAAGTACAAACTATTGTGTGTAAAATAAGGTACAGGGCTTCCCTGGTGGCGCAGTGGTTAAGAATCGCCTGCCACCGCAGGGGACACGGGTTCGAGCCCTGATCCGGGAAGATCCCACATGCCGCGGAGCAACTAAGCCCACACACCACAACTACTGAGCCTGCGCTCTAGAGCCCACAAGCCACAGCTACTGAAGCCTGCGTGCCTAGAGCCCATGCTCTGCAACAAGAGAAGCCACCGCAGTGAGAAGCCCACACACCGCAAAGAAGAGTAGCCCCTGCTTGCCACAACTAGAGAAGGCCGCGCATAGCAACGAAGACCCAAAGCAGCCAAAAATAAATAAAATAAATAATATTTTTTAAAAGCTACAAGGATATATTGTACACCACAGGGAATATAGCCAATATTTTATAGTAACTATAAATGGAGTATAACCTTTAAAAATTGGGAATCACTATATTGTACACCTGTAACATAATATTGTACATCAAATATAATTCAATAAAAAACCATAAACAAACAAACAAAAAATGGGGACTGCCTTCCAGGTGTGGCATTCTGTGGGGCACTGGAAACCCTTGTACCCTAAAGGCTGCCCAGAGCAGACCAATACCAAGCCTGCTCTTTCAAATGGAAATAATGTGTATTTTCTCTACTGAGCACTTGAATTTCATGCAAAAGCTTTATCAGGCTCAGGCCTTGCAGATCTTGTCTCTAAATGCCATTCACCAGTTTTCACCTTCTGTGCTGCTATCTTGGTGCCATCTGCAAGGAGAAAAACACTCTCAAGTCTGCTCTTTTCTGTGATGTAATCCTCACTTGTTTGCAGGCAGTCCTGCCTCAGGCATCATTTTGGAGCTGGGACAGGTGGAATCTAAGTTGTTTGGTAACCCCACCTTTCTCCGAGTCTCCCACGGGGGGCCTGATATTTCTCCCCATAAAGTACCCTGAGCTTTGTTAAGGAGGATAGTGGAAAGCTGAGAAGGAATGCAGAATGGTTGCAGGAGTCAAATTTTATTTGAAAATTGCTTAATAGGCCATGAGGTTTACTTATCTTATACAAATCATATGCAAATATCTCTGTGGTTGTGATATGTGCAATGAAACTCTACTGGTTCCAGAAAGACTCTGGAGTCTAATTTCTTATTTTCTTCCAGATTTGGGCTGATTCAGGGCAGGACCCTCTCTTTGAGGTTTTGTGTGTGTGTGTGTGTGTGTGTGTGTGTGTGTGTGTGTGTTTCCCTTTTACAAGATTTGCTGGGGTGTCATAAAACACAACTCTGATCATGAGTTTCTGTTAACAACTCTGATTGTGAGTTTCTGTTAAAAAATCTGTTCTGGTTTCCCACTGACTACGGGATAAAGTCCAAATGCCTGGCATTAAAGCCCTTTTATGATCTGACTCCAGTCTGTCTTTGCAGCCAGATCTTACCAGCTTCCCCCTGTGTACCCCACAGTGTCCAGCCAAACGAGACTACTGGTCATTCTGGGAATGCATTCGCTCACTCAGAATAGAATACCCTTCCCCTCACCTCTGCTCATTGAAATCTGACCCAGCTTTCAGGATCCGACTCTAAATGCCACCTCCTCCCTGAAATTCTTCTCCTCTCACTTCACCCCCAAGCAGGAATAACCTCTTCCTCCCCTACACTTTATAACTTTACTCCTACTTTTCTTAATAATGTATCTTTCCCTATATTCTTTTACTTGATTAGACTGAAAGCTTCTTGAGGGCAGTTATAATGTCCTCATTCATATCTACACACCCTACAGTGCTTTAAAGAGTTCTTGTAATACTTGGCCCCTGGTAAATGTTTGTTAAATTGAACTGAACTAACTACATGAGGCTGAGGCTTCGGGTTTTTAGGGTTCACCTCTGCCACTGACTTGCTCTAGAAAAGGCCGTTGAAGTCTTCTCTCTGCTAAAATGGGGAGAGGTACCCTTGTGTAGGCCAATATCATCCCGGATTGAAATAAACATATGAAAGCCCTTTGAACACTCTGCAATAACTATATACATTATTATTAATATTTTCAAAATTAAGAAATTCTTATTTGGAAAGGAAAATCATTTATAACTATACTTATGAAATTTATCCTCTCTTACCACCTTCTCTGAAGGCAGAAACATGTATTTGTTTTTAACCTGAGGAAATCTCGTGACCTGGTGAGTTAATTACTGAGCTCAGAGTTGAACTTAGAAATTCTTCCAGGAAACTTTTCTCATCTGACTGTGTTATGCTTGCCTCCTGGCCATCTGTAAAGCCCTGGGAGAAGTTGTCATTAAGGATTTACATATATGTTTTCAGATCGTCTTCCCCATCAACTTCCTGTCATCATCACTATCTTTCATTTTTGTTGTTGTTCAGGTGGAGACAGAAATCCAGCGTGTCTCAGAGGCATATGAGAACCTTGTGAAGTCATCCTCCAAAAGAGAGGCCCTGGAGAAAGCCATGAGAAACAAGCTTGAGGGCGAGATTCGAAGGATGCATGACTTCAACAGGGATCTGAGAGGTGAGGGAATCACTTCTGAAGCATCAGTCAAGATGGTGAAGGGAACAATAAGGTCCTACTGTAAACAACGAGGTCCTACTGTATAGCATAGAGAAGTATATTCAATATCCTGTGATAAACCATATGAAAAAGAATATGAAAAAGAATATATATATATGTATATATATATGTGTGTGTGTGTGTGTGTGTGTATATATATATATATATATATATATATATAAAATCATTGAATCACTTTGCTATAACCAGAAACTAATACAACATTGTAAATCAACTATACTTCAATTTAAAAAAAAAGGATGGTGAAGGGAAGGGCTAAGCTAAGGAGCACATGGCGAGGCTTCTAGGTCTTGTCCAGCCCACTAGGATAGTCAGCAAATTGCAGAGCATAGACCAGGCTAGGTTTTCGTGACTACAATAGTGTCTGGTCCTAAGCTTTCTTAATCAAAGTGGGATGAACTGATGTGTGAATCAGACAGTATCCCTCCCGGGTCTCCTGGACCCACTTGGCCTGTCCCCATAGTCTGTATTACCTCTCTTCCTTTCCAGGTTTAAAGATTTTGTAATAACTTTGATGATTTTTTTTCCTGGTGAATGAAAGCTATCATATATTCAGGGATGGATTCCTTGGTTGGAATTTAGAAATCTGCACTAAGGTTTTGTCAGTGAGGAGTGAAAGTAGTAAAGTACTCACCTCCTCCTTCCCCGTCATGGTCTAGTATGGTTTTGGGATCCACATTTGCAAACCTATATCTGTGTCACCCCTTCTTGTGTAACAAGAAGAGACAGGCTTGTTTTGCCCAAGATCACTGTTTAGAGGGCAAATAGCATGTGCTTGGAAGTTTGTCCTTAGGGCCCTGTTGATTGTCTCCAAATTCCACAGAGCGTCTAGAGACGGCCAACAAGCAGCTTGCAGAGAAGGAATATGAGGGGTCAGAAGATACCAGAAAAACCATCTCTCAGCTCTTTGCAAAAAGTAAGTCTGAAAGCTGCAGCAGCAGGTATTAATATGTGGGTGGGAGTGAGGTGTATGAAAAGGTTACACAGTTCTATTTAGCCTTCTAGAACAGCCAGGGCAGAGTGAATGTCATCTAAGGATTCTTTTTCCTGTTCAAGCATGAAGTTGGGAGATTGTGTTCTTTTCCTTCCGGCCAAGAAGGCTGCTTGCTGCAACATCTAGTCACATCAACATAACTCCTTCTGTATTGAAACAGAGAAGCCCCTTGGAATCCCTGCTTTTTGTCATGCTAGCTGAAAAGGACCTTGATAAACTTGGGGTTCCTTAATATTGAAGGGATTTATCATTGAAGGCTGCATGTGTTGGCTCTGGAAGAGATGGGATTAACATGCAGGATTAATGATTAGTGCTTAGAATACCCAACTTGTACCTGGGGCTCCCTTAAACACCCTGTATTGTATCATATCATTCCATGTTGGGGGATTGCAAGGGTAGCTGGAGGGAGACCGCTGCTAAGGCCTCAACTAGTGACTCTGGTGTGGAGTTGGAGGGTGTGGGGGAGGGCAGAGCTATGTCTTCCTCCTAATAGTGTTTCCTTTGTCTGGAAATACTCCTAGGACCCTGACAATGAATTAATCTTCTTCTTTATCGGGTCCCTAATGGACTCCACCCAGCTAGACAATGCCTCATTCTTTCCAATTGCCACAGTAAAACCAGCAATAAAAACTACACAGTGGATTGAGTCCATAGGGAGAGTGAATTTCGGGGAAAACAGATGATCTACCCTGACTCCTGCAGATGCCCATAGTTGGTATCCCCTACCCCTAGCCTCCACCAGTGTGGTTCCCAGCTGGAGGGCGCTTGGTGGGGACTTGTCAGGCCCCATCTTTGCTGGGCCTCCACATGACCCTTTCAAGTCATTCCATGCGGCTTCCAGTCAGCTTTTACAAGTTGTTTGATCTTCACTTAACAATATCTCCCTCCCTTCCTGGGTTGTTCTCTTGTGCTTTGGCTTTAGAACTGGGGCTTTTTTTTTCTTCCTCATTTCCCTGAGCCTCCTGTTCCTCTGTCAGTATGTCTTAGAGAAAGGAATGTAGTTTTTCTGGTGTCATCAGTGTTTAGTGTAAATTGTTGTGAAGTTGCTTTTGCAGTGTCACAGTTACCTTGGAAGCTACTTCACTGGTGGGGAGAGGGTGGCAGCCTCCCAGCATAAAACAAAACAGAAAATGTATGGATTCTTGGCCCTGGATCTGCTACTTCACACTTCTCCCTGCATGGAGATGGTATTTCAGGTGTCCTAGGAGTTCTGCTGCTGGTTTATAAAATGTGGTAATTTAGTAGGTCAAATTGTATTCACAGCAGGGTGAAAGACTTTGTCAAATGGTTCTAGAAGGGAAAAGTGGACTCTACCTAGTAGGCAGGGAAGAGGACATGACTTTAATTTCTTTTGCCTTTGGGCGTCAACAGGGTGCCACAGGGTTGGAAGTGTGTCAGGAGCCAAGAAAGCCCTCTTGAAAAGGCCCCCTAGAGAGGCCAGACCAATGCAATCCTAGGAGAAGGCCGTGTGGTACAGTATAAAAAGCTTAGAACAGCCTGGCCTTAAGTGTGGGCTCCACTACTTACTCTCCAATTGTGGGACCTGGTACAAGTTACTCAAGCCCTCAGAGGCTGTGTTTTCTCACATGCACGATGGAGAAGAGAATAATACAACACCTGCCGTGTATGGTTGTTCTGAGGATTAATTTAGTACAATACTCGGTATGCAATAAGTATTCAACAAATGTTTATTTCTTCCCAAGGTACATCTGAATAGATATGTAAAGTCAGAGTGGGAAGGAAGGTGAGGCTGTCCTATTAAAGTCTTTCCTACAAACTTATATATCAATGTCTTGAGAGGAAGGGCACTCTACCTCCCAATGAGAATCAAAACCTCTCATTTGAGTTTCTGGTATGAGGTCTGTCCTAGTTAAAAGGGGAGGGACCTAGAAAGGCATGAGGCATAACTACATGTGTCATGGTCACCTGTAGCTACAACGTGATCATGGATTGACCTCAGTTAGAAAATCATGTTAGTGAGTAAAGGTTTTATGCATTTTATGAAATACCATTTTTATATCAATTTAATATACTGTCACGAGGAAACAATGGGGAAAATTTGTGGAGGCTCAATTGCTCATTGGCCAAGACAAGACTGAGAAATAAAATTGAGGAGACAAGCCTACCTGTTCTTCTGACATATGTGCGTGTGTATGTGTATGTGTGTATATTCTTCTTTGTATAATACCTTCCACAACACTTTTTACATCTACTTTCTCACTGCTTCTGCACAACCACTGTTGTTAAGTGGCTTCTGAATTTATACAGCAAGTTAGTGGTAGAGCCAGTGATAAGAGTCCAGATCTCGGTGTCCTGGTTCTTGTGGTTGTGTGTGAGGACACTAGAGCGTCTAGTAACGGGGATTATTGTCAGTTTTGCTCAGGTAAGGTTTTGAGCTAGCTCTGGAATGGCAGTATTGATATTTCATGTCCTGATAGATAAGGAGAGCCAACGGGAGAAGGAGAAACTGGAAGCGGAGCTGGCCACTGCCCGTTCTACCAACGAGGACCAAAGGCGACACATTGAAATCCGAGACCAGGCCCTGAGCAACGCCCAGGCCAAGGTGGTAAAGCTGGAGGAAGAGGTATGTGTAGTTTCCTCGGGTAGCATATGAGTCTAAGGGTAGAAGAGCTGGGGAACCAAGGGCACTGGGGGCCCCCCACTTTGGCGAACTGGCAGCTGCATCATCCCCCAACAGGAAGGTTCCATCTGCTACTTCTAGTTATAACTGTGCTGATGTGAGTAGACTTTGATTTGTTTTTTCTTCTCTTCAAGTTCCTTCTTTTTGCTCCAGATTAGAAAGTCACCAAGGTCAAGGATAAATTTTCATTTGCTCATTCATATAATAAGCTAACCACCTGCCTTCCCTAAGTTCTGACTGTGTACCTAGCCCTGCCTTAAATTAAGCCTATGACAGATTTTATATATATATATATATACACTTACATATGTATGTGTACACGTGTGTGTATGTATACATACATACATACACACACACACACAGACACACACACACACACTTTTAAGGTACTCCAAGGATGTTGAAATCAGAATGGTCCTTGTCTCCCCATGCTCAGTGGGAAGTTGGTCCTCTCAGGCAAAAAAAATGAATCTTGAGGGCTATGCCTCTTGTTGGATTTATTTTGCAGATTGATTTTTGAATAGAAGCAATCTTGGGGTGCCTGGCACAGGATGGGATCCAAGGACCATTTACAGTTTATGGTAGGCCAAGAGCTCTGCCCTGGCTCTTACTGGCTAGGTTCTGGAATGTAGGTATGTGGTAGGGTGAAGTTCTCAGTTATTTGTGTGCAAGGATGGAGCCTTTCCTTGACAAATGCAAGGGCCCCCAAACTACTAAGCATCTGATTAATATGTATCTGATTACTCTCAATGTAGATGTTACTCAATTGCAACACTAAGCTGTGTTTATATGAAATAGAGGGAACTTTGCTGCTGGCCTGTCATTCATTAATCTTGGATGTCAGTCGTCATTGTATTGGAGTACTACTAGGTCTTAGATGTTTTGCACTTCAGGGAATGGGTATATTCCAGCAAAAAAATGATGCTAAAATGTAACTTGGTAAAGAAAATTTCACATCTCACTGACTTGTCTATTCTAAAATTGGAATTGTTTTAAAAGAAAAAAATAGCCTCCATTATAAGAAGCTGAACTCTTTATAAACTTGAGATTACAAAAAAGTGTTTAGTGACCAAACCTTGAGCATTCTGGCTATTGCAGGTGAGGTATCTTTCCTACTTTCATTCATTGCCTGCTTCCTCTCCCTTAGTAAGAATGTCTAGTTCTTAAAGATCTCCCGACTTACAGATATCCTTTGATTTCTTTTGTGGGTGTTAACACACTTGTTGGAGCTATATTGTGGGCTCATGATTTTCTAGTAGGTGATGCCATCTAACCTATGATGTCCTTTAACCTGAATTGCTTAATTGTTAAACTTCAGGTTGTATAAAGTCAGGCTGATGTTCTGCTTCATCAGTTGTCTAGATCAGAAATACTGCCAAGTTGCTTTATTGAAAATGAGGGATACTTGTACATGCTTGGTGTCCAGGTCTTAAGAGCTTAGCACACCCTTTAGCCAGCCCTTCGCCATACCTCATATATTCCCTTCTTTTCCCTTTTTGCAAGGAAATGACAGAGTAAATTATAGGACAGGGATAAGACTGTATTCTTTTAGAGAAGGGAAAACTGAGAGACCCGCTGAGTAGTTTGCTCGTGGTCACATGGCAAGTCTTGGGCAGAGCCAGGAATAAAACTGGAATCTCATGACTCTTCATTCCCTAGACCCTGCTGCCTGTCTCCCTGTCTGAATCATCCTTTGGTTCCACTCCCAAAAAGAAAATGTGGGCGCCTGTTCAGATTTAGTAACCTCTGCATCTTTTAATTTGAAAAGAAATTGCTTTACCCATTGGACCCCTGTTTTTCAACAGACTATGAGAAGCTTGTCTGGACTGCTTTGAGATTGGGGTATATAAACAGCCCCACTGCCCCTCCTGGAAGGGTGCCCCTCCAGTTGGAGATAAATGGAAACAAAGATTCTGCAACCATCTTGGTTTGCAGTGTCTGAGGGCTCAGTGGTAACTGGTTGTTAATCGTGGAAATAGTATACTTGTACGGAGAGGATCTTAATCTGTAGTTCCCACCGGGCAGCCCTCACTGAAACAGTTGCCTGACATATATTTCTGACTTCAGACTTCTGAGGCTTTTCTGGGAATTTGTTCCAGAGATTTTTAGTCATTTTCCAAGGCCCTGCTCCAAAATATGTAGATTTACAATTTAAAGAAGAAGCTCTAAATATTGGGCTAGGATTGAATGATGGCATCTAGTGGTCAGAGATATCTCACATGAACTCATCAATTATTGTTAATTTTTTAGTCCTCATCCAACCTGTTCTTTTGCATGGAGTCTAGTTGTTGGGAAATTCTGAGTTGCTGTTGCTAAAGGAGGCGGAACCTTTGATGGGGAGAGCAAGCTTCTACCCAGTGGAATCAGAGGCAGAGGCCATGTAATGCCTTCCAGACTCTCAAGCCACCTCTAGCACATATAGGGGCTTTAAACCACATCTCAGGGAAAATCCACAGATTCCTATTTTCCTTTTCATTTTAGTAGCCTATCAGAGCTAAGTCTGCTCCTGGGTGGTATTTGTCCTATCTTCTCCATAATATTCAAAGGAAAACATTCCTTTCCTTTATCTTCAAAGACAGGAATTGATAACTGAAGTTTTGCTTTTTTGCTGTGACTCAACCCCCACTAGGTCTCATTTTTCCTGGGGTAAAATTTTTAAGTACAGAACGTTTAGGAGGTATTTAAGGTGAGTAGGTAGCCCTGGAACTAATCTAGTAAGGTTTCTTCATTGTGATTCCTTCACAAAATTAGTGAGCATTTCTAAATCAATAAGAGTATTCACAAATAGAAAATATATCCCTCTATCTGTTGGAGATGGCTCAAGTCAGGTCATGTTGGAAGGCAGAGGGATATGTCAGATGCCTGCCTATGTCTCATAGAAACAGATAATTTAGTTATGGCTTACAAATGGCACCATGCATTTTCCTTAGAAGTTCTTCTAGGGAAAACCTCTCTAGTCTACTTAGCAAATGAGAATTAGGGGAACTTTTCCAAATTAAGCCTTTATTCTAGGGAGTATTTTCTTAGCCTACTAAGTGCAAGGCCACTCAGGTTTAACTATTTTGCATTGCATCAAGATGGTCAGGTTGACACATATATTGACTCATTATGTTGTACACCCGAAACTCATGTAATGTTACAAGTCATTTATATCTCAATAAAAAAAAAAAGATGGTTAGGGAACGGTTATGACTACTTTAATGGTCTGAAGACTCTTGCATATATTTATGTCTTTTTCTTTACAAGGTCCTCATTTAGATACTTTTCCTAAAATCCATTCCATCTTTTTAATCCTATTAAGTCTTTTGCCCGTGACACTCAACATTCACTGTGCTCTAAGCTCTATACAGAAATGGTGCCTCAGGCTTACAGAGAACTTTCTCCTGCAATCACAACTTCCTTCCTCTTCCAAGTTCAGCACAGATTCTCTCACAGACCCCGCTCTGCTGACATCGAGGGATACGGTATCTTGCTGAGAAGGGGATAGCACTCTAAAGAGCAGACCTGTTTTTTGGTGATTCACTATAATCCAGGTCTTGCCACCAATCTACAGCTTATGCAGCAGGAAGCTGGCTGGCGTAAATGGTGCCTTTCCATCCCTGCCCTTATCTTTCGGGACACGTAGGTCCTGTTGAAGTGGAGGTTCATTAAACTCCAAGTCAAAAGAATTCTGTGTCTTACAGCAACCATGGTATTCTCCCATTCAAAGAGACCTCCCTCTGCCCCCCACTAATTTGACCTCACTGGAGAGTTTTGACAGATGCCTGGCATATCCACTCACAGGGCTCAAGGCAGCCCAGGCTTCTGGCCGGCTGCTGTCTTATGATGATCCAGAGCCGAGCCACTGCTTGGGTAATTGTTTCAGGGATGGTGGGAAAAAGGCCCTGGCAAGATCAAAGAGGGAAGATGCTGCGGGTGGGCTGCTTACTGAGCAGAGTGCATAGGAAGGGATAGAGCGAAGTGTGGGAGGGCTGGCAGAAAGAGCCAGTGAGCCTTGTTCTTTGGCTTTAGGCTAGATTGACAGCCACAGAGATTCAGGGGAAAAAAGGACCCAAGTGTTAACCTTTTCTCAACTGCAATGTCTGGTGCAGACATTTAGACATTGCAGTGAAATCTCTGAGTGGCAGTGCATTTTCCAGAGTCATTTTGCCACGCCTCTCAATTCTCTAAAACTAAATTCATATTGTTTCACCTCATTTCCACCATTATTCTTCATGGTTCATATTTTCTCTTATTTCTAGATCTCTTGCCATTTATTTGATTTGTCTCTTTGGTTTCAGAGATACATCATTTTCTGTTATCACACTTATCCACACAGCACCATAACTAGTCTCCTTCTTTCCCAATATTAGAGGAAGATGTCCTAGGCATAGACATTTATATGTCTAATCCAAAATAATCCTCAAACAGTAGGATTTTGTTGGTATAGGTAAAACTCATACAATTGTTATAATGGATTATAAATGTGATAGAAGATCTGAGGGTATGAATTATGTGTGCATTGAGAGTATTGATAGGAATTCAGATAAAATACATATCTACCCAGGAATCTTCCAGAGTGTTCTGTTGACTTATTTGAAGGGCATTTCATCTAAGGATGACTTTTCCCATATTTATGGCAGCATATTTTCTTTGAAGTAGGTATTGCTCCACTCAGTATAAGAAATTGTGTTCCCCACCCCCAATAGAGGTGGAGCTACTTCTCAAAGCTTGATTTTCTCAGTTTTTCCTACGATTTTGGCTTTTGAAATTCCCAAATTGAAAGTCTTGTGTATTTTTCTTTAGCCTCCTTAAGAGAATGAACTCCATTCCCTTGGTAGCAAGTTTCTAGGCGTGGTTTTTTTTTTTTTTTTACTCTTCAATTCTTTTAATATCTACCAGTAGACCACAGCTTCTTGGCAGAGGACACAGGCAACTTGCTAATACCAGGGTAGTGTTACCAA